GCAATAAATTCTCTTCACTTTTCTTCATATGAGGATCCTTTATTTCCTATTCATCTCTTAGAATATTTTAATAGGTAATCGAGCTCATGGGTGATAATTCTTTTCTTTCAGCAAACAAAATATATGGTGCCACTTATATCTCATCTCCATTCTTAAGAGATGAAAAATGTGCTGCCGTCCAAATCACTATTTTCTTCCAGGTAATGTGTCTACGCTCTAGTTGCTTCAAGCTATTTTTCTTCAGATCTACACTTTTCTCTGTCCTTATATTTGCCACATTTTTGGTGATGATTTTGAGGGGAGTTGTTGTTTTTGGAGCTTACTGAACTTTTTAAATTTGGAGGTTGTGAATTTCATAAAATTTACAAAATTTTTAGTCATTATTCCTTTGAATGATTTTTAGCCCCACGCTCTTCCTGAGATAGGAATGCTGAGTGTTTTGTTATTGCCACGGAGGTCTCGGAGGCTACGTTCATAGTTTGTTCAGTTGATTTTTATCTCTTTTTTGGGCTGGGTAATTTTAATGGTTCTGTCATTGAGTTCATTGATTCTTCTTTTACATTTATCACATTACTCAGCTTAATTAATGAGTATGTAATGGCAGCTTTTGGTTTTGGGTTTTTGGTGTTTGTTAGTTCCGCAGCTTCCATTTGGTTCTTTTATATATCTTATATATTTTTGATGAGATTTTTAAAAATTTGTTTCTAGAAGATTTGTAATTGCTCATGAAAGCACTTTATGCTGTAGCTTTAAAAATTCTTGTTGACTAATTTCAGCATCTATGTCCTCTCAGGACTGACATCTCTCCTTATTGGAGCTGCTCTTGATGAGAACAGTGGTTTTTCATAACACATTATTATTCTGTATGGAATGCTAAGTGACTGAGTCAAATTTAAAAGCTCTGGTTTAACAGGCACCAGGTAGCACCAGTGTTCTCTGGAGCAGCTTGCACGAGCAGAAGGCTCTTCCCAGTGGCCCAGGGCTGCCTGCTGGAGGCTGCAGTAGATCAGGCCTTCAGGGCAGACATGAACGTCTGCTCACCATGCAGCCCAGTGCTTTGTTCAAGGTGGAGAGCCTCCTGCTTGTAAGACGATGCCACGGCTACCAGGGCCCTTCTGCCCCTGTGAGGTGACAGGCCTGGGAAGACCAGAGTTAGTGTGCAGCCTTTTTTCTTCATTTGAATTTTTTATGGAATTGAGATATCATTGTTATTTCCCTCTGGAGCCGTATCTTCATTGTAAGTCAGACAATAGCGCTATCAAATTTCTGAAAACCGTTTCCCTAAAATCTCTGTCCGGATGCCATCGTTCACTCCAGGGACAAAGCACTGATCTATCAGAGGCTCTTTTCATTCACATCACAAGCTCCTTCCTAGCTGGCCAAATCCAATCCAGAGTAGACATTTCCACATTTCCTTTACGCTTTCTTCCCCTGTCGAAGAGATGAGATGGTCAGTGTAGAGGGTGAAGACTATCAGATGCTCTGCTTGGTACCAAGTGAGTTAGGTGTGCTCACAAGTACAAACTCCCCACGTCCAGTAGTGCCTGCCAGTGCACCAGTCAGTAGTTCTGAACTATGAAAGCCTCCTGGGCCTTTCCAGAGCTCCACACGCTGTCCTCACAGTATTACTCTGCCTCTTCTTCCTCATGTTATTGCAACGCTTTCCGCACACTCTCACCATCTGGTTATAGGCTATCTGCATTGTCCATGGTTGCTGCCATGCCCACCTTATCCTCCATTATAGCTTGTTTGGCAGCACAGTAACTTTCTCATTTCTACCATGTCACTTCTCATCACTTTTGCTGCTGTCTATGGAAGTATATCTTGTGTTAAGTGTGAGGCTTGCCTTATGGGTCCCCCATCCTTTCTATGATGGTTGCATGACTTCCCATGACTCTCAGCTATATTCCTTTTATCTTTTGTGTGTGTGTGTGTGTGTGTGTGTGTGTGTGTGTGTGTGTATGTGGTACTGGGGATTGAACTCAGGACCTTGCGCTTGCCAGGCAAGCACTTATTATACCGAGCTATCTCCCTGGCCCACAGCTACACTCTTAATGTCCTCCAGCACTCTAAACTAGCTACATTCCGCTCTACCCATGTCAGACACCCAACCCTCTGCACCCATTCATTCCAGCATCACCTTCCAGCACATCCTGCATTCCAGACTCCACGCTGATGCTGACAGAAAGCTCCAGAAGCTTCTGGGCTTTTTGAGAAGATTGACCCATCTACAGACACAATGCAGGGTAATCAGTGCAACAGCACGGGAAAGAGAAGTTGCACACAGCCTAGGGGAGCCAGAGGAGGAACTAGGAGCAGAAGAGGTTAGGCTGGACTCGCAAAGGATGAGCAGAAGCTAGTCACAGAAAAAGGCGAAGCAAGGGCCCTGGATGCAAGCGACATGGCTAGCCCGTACTTGCCAAGGTGCAACTTGGTGTCTTAGGATCCGCGCCATGTGCTATGGAGAGCAGCACTATGTGGAAGGCCTTCATGTGCCCACTAAGGTGTTGCTTTTGAAGGGAGCAGCCGCTGAAGGGCTGACGGCAGGGAGTGACTTGGCAGGCCGTGCGTTGAGGTACCCAGGCTGCGTGCTAAGGAAGCCTGAGCTTTGAGGATGCAGGGGACAAGGGGGGACACTTTGTGCTAGACTGAGTATCACAAGGCCTACTAACTTGAGAAACTAAGCAACCAACCAACTAACAAAGCCACTTCTTTTGGCCCAGTGAGAGATGTCCCAAGCCTACTATGCATCAGAGTGATGTTTAAAAAGGGACCTATTCTGCAACTGGTAGAGGGAATGTCAGCAGGGTTCCACGGGTGTTGAAGAAAAGTTCCAAGATCCATCCCTATCTGTCAGAATAGTCACCTGAAAGCACATCTCCACCCATCACAAAGGAGAAATGGGGCTCATCTCCCACACAATTTTTTTTCCCTCATCCATCCACTCATGATCTTCTTGTCCTTCAGAGGTGTCCTCAGACCCACTTCAACTGGACTTTTCCCAGGGATTGCCCTTGGTGTAGGCTCATGGGGTGAGCTCAGAATATGGAGTCAGAGAGGTCTGGGGGCATGTGTCCATGACATCTCACTAACTTTCTTTAGCCCCAGTTCTCCTGCCTAGTAGCAAACTCCCTCACCCCCTTGCAGAGTGGCTACAGGGGTCCAAAATGATGATGGTGGATGCTCAGGGTGGAGCGGAGTGGATGCCCTGAGTGGTGGGAGCTGCAGACCCTGTGTGGGCTTGCCCCACTTTGAACTCTGATAAGTTTTTTTTTGTTTTTTGTTTTGTTTTATTTTTGTTTTGTTTTGTCTTTTGGTGGAACCAGGGATTGAACTCAGACCCTTGCGCTTGCCAGGGAAGTGCTTATTCTACTGAGCTATCTCCCCAGCCCGTTTCCACCTTGAACTCTGAAGTTCAACAGCAGGTATAAGTCTGGAGCCAGGCGCCCCTGAAAAGATTTACCACAGTTTCTTCTGTCATGTCACGCGCCTAACTGCAGACAGTTCTTAAAAGAGACATATCTGCAGGAACCGCTACTTTTGCCCCTCAGGACTATTAGACCACTGCTAGAGAATCATTTGATGTCTTCCTTCAAGGGAAACTAGAGGCATGCCCATGAAAAATGTTTATTTGTAAAGAGCAACACGTGTATTATATGCACTGTGATGTCATTTGTGTAAGATGAAACAGAAAAAATGTCTGTCCCATAGTGGACAGAGCGCACGGTAGGAGTGGAGTGGGTCTCTGTATGTGAAGACTTTGCTACTGTGAATTCAACCAGAGATCAAAAAAAAAAAAAAAAAAAAAAAAAAAAAAAAAGCCTACTAGCAAGAAGATTGAACTGAGTATGTAGAGACGTTTTTTTCACCTGTATTTCCTAAACAATAGTTTAATATTTATTTACATAGCTTTTTTTTTCATATTTTAGGGAAGGGTCTACAGGGTGTTCAGAGTCTCACTACTAGATTGGAATCATAGTGATCCTCCTGTTTACAGCCTCCCAAGAACTGGGATTATAAGTGTGCACCACCACGCCCAGTCTCAATTGCCATCTCAGTGCACCCTGGGGTGGGGCCGGCATAGCAGGCCTGGGGATCAAACTCTTTGTCCCTACGCCCGCTTGCGGGTGCTTTAATCCACTGAGATACTTGGCCAGCCCTTACATAGCATTTAGATTGTATTGCATATAAGTGATTGAGAGATGGTTGAAAACATGAGAAGAGGTGTGTGGATCCTATACAATTACTCAATCTTGCATAAGATATTTGAGCATCTCTGGAGCTTGGTATCCTTGAAGGGCCTTGGAAACAATTCCCCATGAGCAGCAGAGGATGATCATGTGTGTTCTGTGGGATTATGTGAGCACATGTGAACACAAGCCCAGAACACTGGGAAGGCTCACCTCAGCACGTTCGGGCTTCAGGGAGATCAGGCTAGGTCATTAGCTCATATCCGGTGATTTATATTGTTTAACATACTGTATCAAATATTCGTGCCTTTTATGGTCTAAAACTAAAGAAAAAGAAAGACATGAGCATTAATTCCAGATCTGCATCCTATGACCTAACAAGTCGGTCAAGTCTCTAAACTTTGCTGGTTATGTATAAAATGAGAGCAATCTTACCCCACCAAGACTTTGGAAATTCAAACATATAAATTCAGGATTTCATTCCATAAACATTATCTGAGAACCCAAGTATGAGCCAGGCGTCATGCTGGGGCATCAATAGCAAAGGAGGTCAGTGTTAACACTTCTCCCGGCTAGTGACACATGGCCCAAAGGTCTGATTTCTCTGCCACACAGATGGGTGACCAGCAAGGCCCTTCTCACCTTGCGGCCAAAAGGAGGATGGGGGAAAGCTTGGGGCTGTGGGCCTGGAGTCCTTCCCATGTGACTTCTAGGGGAGACTGCTGTTGGCGCTGCTGTGGTTGGGCATCGCCTGGGCCTTCTGCTTTGTGCCTTTTGTTGTTACCACCTTCTTCTGGGCCTGTGTTTCAGATCCAAAGCGTAGGAGAAAAAATAGGATGAACTTCACTGTGGCTTTAATGGTCATCTACCTGATGCTGCTCACAGGAGCTGCTGTGCTGCTGGAGTTCCAAGGTAAAGCAGCCTCTGTTCACTCTGAGCCGGAGCTGGACCCCTCTGATGCAGAGACTCAGGCTGAGAGGACAGTTCTGCGGGCTGCAGATGCCCATCTGCTGGGAGAGAGCGCTCAGTCCCTGGGTCACCACAGGGACAGCAGAGTGAAAAGTAGTCATTGCGTGAGGGGTGGGTGAGGACGCACACTGGAACTTGTGTGGGCAAAGCAGTGCGAATGCCGTGACTGCATGTGGGGTTTGCCGCAAGTGTCCGACATAAATGGTTCCCAGCCTGGGAAAGGGCTTTGTCGCTTGAGCTGTTTATCTAAACATGATTTTACTTCCAGAATATTCCCAATCCAAAGATCAAAGCCAATGAGTCAGCTCCACCAGCAGATACTGATGTCACCCAAACACCTTGTGTACACGCTTGTCATAAACACTCGTCAGGAACATAGGAATGTTGCTTGAACATCTTTAGGTCACGCCAGCATGCTGGCTGTCACAAATTCATACCAGGGCACAGAGGGAAGTCTGACTGCAGGAAGTTAAGAGATGGAGGGTGGATGCCATAGACGTAGCTTTAAAGATGCTCCAGGGACATGTAGCGAGTGTGGAGGAGGATATACACTCAAGTGTAGAACAAGCTCTGTGCTCACACCAGGTTTCAACAGCACATGGAGCCTGCGCTTATGAATTCAGGGGATGCAGAAGTCATGTCCATGTGACCAAAAAAAATGCAAAGGATCAGCTCTGATGAAGTCCTGGAAGTAATGCTGTGTGTGTGTGTGTGTGTGTGTGTGTGTGTGTGTGTATTCCAGTCCAGAACCTGCAGTTCCAGATCCTGAAGCATGATTTCCTCAATGAGACATCTGGGGAAAAGTCCTTCTTGCAGTGGTTGGCACACCCGATGCACAAGGCTCAGAGCACGTCAAAGCTGCAAGACCTACAGGCCCAGCTTACTGAAGTCCAAGTCAGACAGGAGCGCATGCTGCAGCAGGTGGAGAGCCTCCCTCAGAAAGCAGGTTTGGCTTCTTCCTCTCTGGGCTGTGCTTTTCAGAGATCTTGGTTTTCATGAATCACTTTCCTTGGCGAGAAGAGATTCCAGGGTCTGGCCCACCGACACTCTGGGGACAAGGCAGTGGATGAGAGGCCTGTGAAATGGGTATGAAATTGGAAGATGGTTGCTGTGGCACACAGACCACAGGGGAGGCCACAGTTAGGTCAGAAACCAGGGACCAAAGGCCCAATACAAACAAAGAGTGGACTCTGAGAGATCGGGGCTGGAGCAACCAGTCCAAGGTCAGGGCTGGGTCATAATGTTCCCAGACACAGCCAACCATGAAGGTATGTGAAATGCAGAGCTTGGCTGAGCTCCCAGGACTCCTCCATCCAGCTGGCTCACAGTGGGCTGCAGGGTGTGAGGGGACAATTGAGGGCTCCAAGCTAGTCCAGACAACATGGGGTCCTCGGACAGGGGATGGGGCAGCTGAGGAAGCATCAGGGCTTGAGGTGACGCATGGACAGTGGTGGATGCACTTGAAGTGGCAGATGGGCAGGAGGAAAGGAGCCAGAGGTGGAAGTGCCAAGCCCCTTCCCAGCTCCTTGCTCTGGCTCCAGTGTCCCAGCAAACTGGGCCTTGTGAGGGTGATCTCATGAGCTACAGTCCAGGAGGACAAGTCCATCCAGAGGCTGTGACCTCCCCAGGGAGCAAAACAAAGGCTCAGTGGGGCTGTGAGGAGAGCCTGGAGCTGCAGGCATATGCACAGAGTAGGACTGTTCTCCTGCCCTCAAAATGTGAAGGAGCTCTTTGGGCCAGCACCAGAAGCTGTTTGCTTGGCCCCAGGAGCTTCTGCAGATTGGACCAGGCAAAGCCTGGTGCACAAAGCCAGTCCCACCCCCTTCTCCCTTCCTGAAGCTCTTGGGTACCTGCAGCTCCTGGGTGAAATAGCAAGTACTTCCCAAGGTCTTTCACCTGAGCACACCCAGGAGATTGAAGCCTTTCCTCCAAGTCATGCTCTCACTAATCTGACTGAGGCTTCTGCTTCCCATACAGTATAGGGGAACAGCTTTTCAAGTTAGAATCTGGGACCCCTTGAAGAGTGTGGGACTAAGCTGAGGGGGTCCCCACAGCTCAGCCTGAAAGCCTCTGTCCTTCCCTTGCAGAGTTGCACAGGATCAAAGGTGAACCAGGTGCCCCAGGTAGGTTCACTGTCCCTTTCCTAAACCTTCTCTGGAGGGCTCCCTGGCCCGTGCCCTTCTGCAGCTATGTCCAGCTGACCTCTCTTTGCCTCTCAGGAGACCCCCTCAAATGTATCAGCTCTTTGCCCCTGACCAGCTCCTGGTCTCTGCCCTCTGCTTCCTTGAAATGCTTCCCCTCCTGCTCCTCCCATCTGAGCATCACCACCTGCCCAGGCCAGCCAAAACCCACCCCCTCTGTTCCTCTCCCCAGCTCCCCAGCTTCTAAGAGCCTCTCCCCTTCTCTCCCATAAGCACTTTTACCTGCCACTTAGGGCTTATCACCAGGGTGGTGTGCTCACTCCCATTGGTGCTTGTCCTGTCTGTCCTGCAGGGCCATCACTGTGGCCCTGCCTGGGACAGAACTTTTCTGGCCGCTATTGATGAAGAAAGTACGGGTGCTCACTGGGCCCACCTCGTAAGGGTGTATTAGGGGATGATGTGAAAAAGACATCTGACAGTAGCCTGTGTTCTTTAGAATTAAGCCTGTGGTTTGTCTACCCTCTTTCCCCACCTCAGACCACATGTGTGTGTTGCACACATGCACACACTCATGTACACATGCCTCCCTGTTCCATTCTAGCTGCTGGGTGGTTGAAATCTTACCCTGAAGACAAATAATTTTGATGTTCTGGGGACAGCATCCTGGGTGCTGTGACTTCTTGGGAGTGATCCACCTCCCTTCTGGCCAGGGGGAGCTGTGAGGTAGCCCTGCTCAGCGCAGGAGGGAGAACCTGAGGGCCCGCAGGCCTGAGCACAAGCCCTGGGTCTGCCCTTCACAAGACGGGTGATGTTGAGCAAGTGATTCATCATTCTGAGCTGCTGCTGTCCTTCCCTGCAAGAGGAAAGCAGTGATCAGATGCAGGCAGGGTAGGGCAGGGCCCTGCATAGTCAGAGCTCTATGGTGCTGTTACTCACATCACTGGATATCACTGACATGCTTTTGTTGGAAATATGAAAAGAATTTTGAACAGCCCCCAGCTGATGGGTATTGGCTCCTCTCCTGTGAGGAGCAGCTTTTCTGGCAACTTCTGACACTTCAGCTGTTGGCATCCGAATTCCCTTCTTTCAACCCAATGGAGTTGGTCTGATCTTGAGAATCCTCCCCCTCACCCCACCACTACTAGTGCCACTAGGTTCAGAGCTCCAGGCCCAGACGGAGAGCCCACCCCTGCTGTGGCTGCACTGTCTGTGTGTTCATCTGTCTCTCTCTCTTGGCTCCAGGGCCTTCATGGAGACCCAAATCAGCAAAATCTCACACCTTTTGTATAAAATGGTGTCATATTTTTATATAACATATATACATCCTGCTGTATATTTTAAAGCCTTTCAGATTACTTATAATACTAAAATATAATGTAAATGCTGTATAAATAGTTGATGTATAGTTTAGGAAATTATGGCAGAGAATGTTTATACATGGATACTACAGAGGCAAATTATCCCCAAATATCTTCAATTCATGGTTGGTTAAATCAGAGAATGTAGAACTCAAAGATGCCAAAGGTCTACTGCATAGATTCTCCTGTTCCATCTCCCCATATCTCCCAGAGTATCTGTCAATCTTTGACTTGTCTCCCTTCCCATCCCCATCTCCCTCTCCTCTTCCCTCTCTCCCCTTCTCTTTTCTGAAGCCCAAAGAACAGAGATAGGAAACAGTATTTCCAGGAGCTGGGGCACCCCCTGCCTTCCCAGACTCCCTACCCAGCCCCCGGTTGTCCATAGGTTGTGCCCTCTGTCCCTTTCCCATGGTTTGCCTTGTCTTGCCTGCTTAGTACTCCTCAAAGATGCATCAAACTTACTGGAAGAGCATAGAGGGGCAGGAGAGAGGGTATAGAGCTTGCAAGTTCCTTGTTTTGCATAGCCTGCAGCAGCTGCTGCCAATATGGCCCTCAGCCCAGGCCTCTTGGACACCATGGGGAGAATAGCACCCCAGCTGACCTTCCCAAAGGCTATTGTGCAGTCCACCTGCCCCTCTTTCCTTTCCCTGTCCTTTCTGGACTTCTTACTTCCTTCCAACAGTTGTTTATTGAAATCTCTATGGAGCAGCCACTGCCATAGGCCCTGGAAATGAGACCGGAAGTAGACTAGCTCTTGCCCTCTCTGGCCTTCCCCTTTAGGGAGGAACAAAGCATGCTGGGGCAAGGTGCCTGGCAGCATGGGCAGACCCTTGCATGAGGAAGTGTAGGGAGGCCCTCGCACCTCATCCCCAGGCCAACAAAGGTTGCCAGGAAAGCACTGAGACCACCGCCTGTGTAAGGGCCCTGAGGCAGTCAGTGAGCTTACTGAGCCAGGGACACAGAAAAGGAAGGTCCTATCCATGAAGTCCCAGAGCAGGGGAGCAGAGGAGAGAGGGAGGTGACCGTGGCAACAGCAGGCCCAGAGTAGGCTGAGGTGGGGAGGCGCCCCTAGAAAGCACAAGGCACTTGCCCTCTGTGCCTTGCCAACCTTTTACACTAATTCTAAGCAGCTATTGGTATTATCCCCATTTCATAATTGAGGAAATTGAGGCTCCGAGATACATGAACTCCCTTGGGATGACATAGGCAGACTTGGAGGAGCTAAGTGGGACTCCCAATCCAAGGGCCAGGCCACCATGGTAGAGCACAGACAGGCTCCACGGCCTAAGAGGGCAATGCCAATGGGGGCAGAACCTCCCTGGGCAGCCCCTACAAGAGGCCTGGACCCAGCCTGGAAGAAAGTGAGTGCTTTTTCCCAGAAGTGCTGGGGTCAAAACCTTCCAACCCTGGTCTGCTAAGAGGAGGCTTGGTTCTGCAGGGTCAGTTGTCCCCCTGCCATGGTGCTTCTGAGGCTGAGACCTCTGTCTTCTGCCCGAGGAGCACAGAGAGCTCTTTCACTGGGTGTCCCATGTCCCACCACCTCAGGTCCTTGTGCCCAAGAACTCTGGGAAGTTGTCACTATTATGTCACAGACAAGTAAGCCAGGAAGCAACTGTTCGATGCTCTGGGGCTCCTTTTTCCTGAGACACCGCACAGGACCTCATGTTCAACTACAGTTCTAGTCATTGATTCTGCTTCCATCTTCTGGACTCTGTGACACGCTACCACACTCTGAGTCTTTCAAATTGGAGTACACTTCTGCTCCGAGCTCAAAAACTCCCACCAGCTCCCCTACGACATGCCTTTCCAAGGCAAAGGTTTTACCACTGGGACACCTGGAACCCACCAGCTCCTTCCCAATGTGTAGCCTTAGGGAAGTTCTGAGCCTCTCAGAATGCCAGTGTCCTGGTGATTTGGGAACAAGCAGCCTGTGCCACCCACCTGGTTGCTGCGAGACGCATGAGCTCTGTGTGGACAGCATGCCTGGAAGTGGTAGAGAATCTTGCAACCTGCAGAAAGTACTGGTCCCGCGCCACCAGAGCTTGCCTGAGAGATGTCCATGTGGTCCCCTCCAGACATAACAAGTACAGTACACCCATTTTAGTGGCCAGGAAATTGAGGTCCAGAAAGATGAAGAAGCCTGCATAGTGCCTTCTAGCGAAAGGGCAGAGCCAGTCCTTGAATGTAGATCTGTTTGACTAAGACTCTGTAAGAAGACATCTATGCAAGTATTTTGGGTTGGTGTTTGCCTTCTTGGCCATGAAGCACCCTCTGCTCTCTTCTTTTCTACCTTCCACGGCTATCAGGATAAGCCCAGACCTCATATAAGCCAGGCAAGCCCTCTGCCTCTAGGCCACATCCCCAGTCCTGCCTGTGCCAGTCTTATAGGAAGGAATTTCTCTTCGTCTTTTGCTTTTCCTTCTGCAATTTAGGTTGCCCATGGTGCTCAGTGAATTGGTTGACTGAATAATTGAGTGAGAGGCATTGTTGCCCCACCCCATCTGGCCAGCTCATTTGTGTTTCTGCTCCTCCTCCTCCTCCTCCTCCTCCTGTCTTCCAGGTCCAAAGGGGGCCACGGGTGAGCCAGGAAGGCCAGGCGAGAAGGGAGCCAAGGGGGCCGTGGGACCAGCGGGAAGCCCAGGTAGGAACTTTGTCTCCTGGCTCTGCAATCCTTCCCCTGTTTGGTGCAGGGTGTGCTCTGAGTTCCCCTTCCCTTCCAGGTCTCCTGGGACTCCAAGGCCCACCAGGCAGGAAGGGAGATCCTGGTGAGTAAAGAAAGAAATTCACAGCTGGCTTTCTCAGCCTGGGGACCCTGGCTGTGGACATCGCCCAGGCTGCAGTTTAAGTTCCTCAAGAGTCTGTAAGGGCTGGTGGCTGTCCCAACATTTGGGATGGATTGAGAGGTAGGAGGAAGTAACTGGCGTGGCAGGAGGGCAGGGCAGCGTAGCAGCCCCTAGGTGGTAGTGACAGAGGGCACCCCGACTGCGAGGCCTGGCAGGCTGCAACACCCCTGCCTGGTCCTCCGCTGGGGTGTTCAGCCATAGAGCCCTGTGAGGATAGTCAGGCTTCTCCACTCATCAGGTACACGAGAACCAGGCATGTGCGCCTCTGTGCCATTGGCTGTCACCTAAGCCTCAGGGCACTGGGGGCTGTGGATAATGACTTGAAGTCCAGGACCTTTGCTGGGAAAGTATTAGGCTCCATCTTTTAGGCTGTAGCTTAGACCTACCCAGGGTCCTATCGATGACCCCGTCAGAGGGAGTGTGGACTCACCTGTCCCCCCCAGAGGACAGACCCAGCCCAGAGCCCGTGACTGTTACAGTACACGCTGAGCTCCACTCCCTCCCTCCAGTCCTGAATTCCCCAGGGCTTAGGCTGCAGCTCCGTAATGCTGTGAAGACCGTAAGGCCTTCTCTGGGAGAGTAGTGCCAGAGGATTTCTAAGGAAGGGAATAAACAAGCCGAAACTCTAAGCCTTGGGCTGCAGAGGCAGAAAGAAAACAGCAGCAGTCATTGAAAGGCAACTTGTTAGCAGGGACACCTACCAGGGAACTGAGTTTTGGAAGAAATGTAATAGACAGGGTCCTAAAAACCCTATTGCTCTAAGTCTCTAGCAGGTTTTTTTACCAGAGATTTTAAGCAATAGGAAGGAAAGCATATGATGCAGGGAGAGGCACATAACACATTCACACCTCTTGCACACCCATGTGCTCACACAGATCCACAAACCCTCATTTGCAATCACACATCTACCCATATAATCACATCCTCACACTCACACACCATGCACTTGCACCTCCACACTATCTTACACTTACACACAAGAGTATATTTGTGCATGTATGTGCACATACTTAAATTCTCATGCCCTCATGCACAATCACAGTAGCACACATACACACTGCTACACACACTCACACTTGTGCTCACACAACCTGTGCTCAAGTGCTCTCATACTCTGGCCTTCAGAGCTTGGTGCAAGGCAGGCTCCCTCTGCGGGTGGTGGAGCTTCCTCCTTCTTCCCTCCTCCCTCCTCCTGGAGAGAAAAGGACTTGAGCCAAGGACCCAGTGATGTGCTTCAAGCAGGAATGGAGCCTGGAGTCTAGCTCCTCTTCAGCCTGCTGACCTCTGACTGGACAGCACTTCTTTCAGCATGGAAGTGACACGCTAAAAACAGGCTGAAGACACAGCCGCAGCAGAGCCACAAGCAGTGTGAGCCCAGAGCCCACTTGCTTCCACACTGGGGCACTGCTGGCTCCCCCAGGAAAGGCTAGAGAAACCTCCCACATGCCCCATACTAGCCTGGGTGTGTAGGAGGGAACCACCAATTCTCTGATCCATTTTTGTCATGGGTGTTCAAGCACTAATTATGAACCTGCTGAGTACCCAGTCATGGCCAGCCCCATTTTACAGACAAGGAAACGGAAGGGTGGAATATGTAAGTGACATTTCCAAAGTCATCCAGCCTGCCAAGTAGCAGAGCTATGATTCCAATCAACCCACTTTACTCTAAAAGCTTGTCTTCCCTTGCTGTGTGGAAGCAGTTCTTGGGTGCTGTCTTGTCTTTGGCAAAAGAGAGAAAACTCTGCCTGGCCCCAGCCAGGGCTTTCTTTGTCCGAGGTGAACAGGCATGGAGGGGGTGGCTTGCAAAGGGCACCATGCACCCCTCAGGGCTCCAGAATGTCAGCTAACTCAGAAGCCCAGGCCGCAGCAGCTGAGCTCTTCTTTCCTTCTCCACAGGCCTCCAAGGACCCAAGGGCATGCCAGGAGAGCAAGGAGCCACTGGTAACTCAGGCTTCCCCTGCTGGGGCCCGGGACGCGCTGTGTGAGGCCTGGGAGCAGCCGCCCTTTATGTTCTCTCTGCGAGTGCCAGCCTGGCGGCCGAGGGCAAACACAGCCCTCTTCTCTCAACTCCTAGCATACTAAGCCAAGGCAGGAGCAGACCCCTCTTCATTGGGCAAACCCTCCCCTCCCTCTGGACTCTACTCACTTTTCCCAGGCCTTCATTCTAGGGACGGTGCGACCCCCTCATTGCCTGTTCTCTTCACAGGCGTACCAGGCCCTCAAGGGGAGAAAGGCAGCAAAGGCGATGGAGGGCTCATGGGCCCCAGAGGAGCAACTGGGGCCAAGGGAGATAAAGGGGACCTGGGCCACCCAGGTAAGGGCCATATTGGGATGGCGGTGCTCACAGGGCAGCTGGAGGGAGCAGAGTCCCTTGTTCTGTGACATCACATTTGTTTAGTGCTGTAGGCACCTCTGCGCACCAAGTATGACCTCGCCTTTCCAGGTGAGCAAAAGCCAAGGGTGCAATATGAGGGAGGACAGAGCTGTTTCGTGATTAGTGAAGCTGCCCAAGCCGTGTCAGTAGGTCAGACGGGAAAGCTGGGGGCTTTGGCGGAGCTGAGAGAGGAGGGCTGGCAGCGAGTGTGGGGGGTTTGTCTCTATAAGGAGATTGCTAGAGTGCCCTGATTGATGGAGCATGACTTCAGGCGGCAGGCCATGCCTAGGAAGCATCGCAGGTGATTCTGACCTTGAGGATCTTACACCGCAGCCCAAAGCGCTGCCCTGGGGCTAGAACCTGGCCTAGCACCTAGTGCTCCTCAGCTGCCTCTTGCTGCCAAGCTGAGGAGGCCGTGGATGCCACGCGTGGAGCCAGGCAGGCTCGGTATCCACCCTGCCCTGCACCAGCCAACCTGTGTGAGTGGGCACAGGCCTCAACCCTCTGTGCTTCAGTTCCTCCGTTTAGATGAGAACAATAACTCACCTGAAACAATAACCAAGTGTGCAGGCCTTGCAGATCCGGTAGGAGGCTAGCGGTTGTCTTCACAGGGCTGGCCACATGGTAAACGATAACCCTTATGAGTAGCAGGGACTGTTCCCTGACACAGTCGAAGGGAAAATCTTCAGCTCCAAGGAGAGACAGACCTGGGTTCTGATGGCGCTCAGTCGCTAGGCAGCCTTGAACCAATGGCTGAACGTCCCAGAGTCCCAAGTCACTGGCTCACCTCAGGAAGAAGATGATAATGCTGACATCTAATGAGGGTTAGCTACAAGGGGGTGCAAGACACACAAGATGTATGACACTGGACCTGGCAGAGAGGAATCGTTTCCCTGTAAGAAACCACTTTCTCAAGTGTAGAGCCCTTAGCAGGGACATGCTAGCTGCTCTTCAAATATTTTTGTTGTTGTTGTTGTTGTTGTTGTTTTTCTTTCTTTTTTTTTTCTTTTTAATTCTCAGGCCATCTGTACAGAGTTGAGTTGTTTCTACCTTTCAGTTCTAGGAAGACTTAACTATTAGCCTGAGAAATATATTTTTTGTTTTACACATTATTGTTCTTCTGTCATCTTTTCATTCTCCTCTCTTACAGGAATCTACTTACATGAGTTTATATATTTTACAAAGGTACATAAATACCCAAGGATATACATGTTGGCATCATTTAGTGCATGTGTGTGTTTTAATGTAAATAAATGGTATGGTATTAATAGATTTCACCTGAGATTCTTCTCCTTTCCTCCTTCTCTTCCTCTTCCTCTCTCTCTCCTCCAGTCTTTCTCTCTTTCTCCCTTTTGAGTGGTACTGCAGATTGAACCCAGGGCCTTTGCACTGAGTTTCCCACATTGGACACACAAGGTCACACTAAGTCACTAAATTGCCCAAACTGTCTTCATACTTTCCACCCTCTTGCCTCAGCTTCCTAGAGTGCTGGGATTATAGGTGTGTGCCACCAGAACTGGCCTTTATTGTACTTTAAACTGTGCTTGAAGTTCTCACCTCATTTCTATATGTACCTCATTGGCCTGACTTCCTGGGTTTGTTAGATGCAATGACAAAAAACAAAACAACAACAACAACAAAAACACATTGCTCACTGCCTTACATAAAAAAAGAGAAAGACAGAATTTATGGACTTATACAGTAACCTAAAACAACCAGAAGTTAGTTTTAGCAATTCTGCCTCTGAGTATATTCAAAGACATGCATCAGGATACCAACAACAGGATCATTTGTAATCTTAGAACTTACCTGAGGCAGAAGAATCAAGAGTTCCCGGCCACCCTGGGCTATTAGTGAGCTCAAGCGCTGTGTGGACCACATAATAAGATCTTGTTTCAAAGAAGAAATAAAAAGCAATAGTTGTGCCGTTCTGTAGCAGGACGCTCTTCAAATATTTGGAAAGCACTTGTGTGGGAGAAAGCAGACTTGCTCTGGGTGGGGCCAGTCAAGGAAAGAGGCCGGGGAACAAGAGTGATCGGAGCTTGGGGCTGACCTGTGATGAACACGCTGACTTGGCCCTAGAGGCGGCGTTTCCTCGTGGCGCTGAGGGCCAGTCTTGAAGCAGGCCGAGGGGTGGGGAGCAATCTCTGAGGAGCCTCTGAAGCCAGCTATTTGGCTTCCTGGGAGGCACTGTGGCTCATCACCCTTCTGTGTGACAGTATGCCAGGACGCATTCCTCCTCTCTGCTGGTGTTCTGTACCATGCAACCCGGTTCTCTGTGATTGCTTTCTCTCTCAGAGGGGAATGGTCATTCTTTAAGCCCAGCTCCTAAACTTTGCACTGATTTCACTCTAAGCTCAGGCTCCAAAAGGCTGCCTCTCTCCTCTTTGGAGCTTTGCATCCCACTTTTTCATTCCCTGGCAGAAATTTGACATTGTACCTAAGTCCCCAGTGCCATCTTATTAGGGTAGGGCCAAGAATAGCTTTGAACAAAACTCTGTCCTAACTAATCTATTTGACAGCCTAAAAGATTGTCTTGGGGTGACATAGTCCTCCTTAGACTTGCACCCCATTTTGCCCCAGGGGGTGGGGTGGAGTTGGTGACATTCACATCAGGCCAACAGGAGATATCAACAATTTACTGAATACCAGCTGCCCAGGGGGGCACTGCTGAGTGAGCCCCGTGTGGTGTGGCTGCAGCCTACTCCCTGCCACACTGCACTTTGGCACTGAGAGGAAAAGCCCCAGCCCTGTGTGGAGCTTCCCTCAATTGGTATGCACCAGGCACTGGCAGAAAAGGAGGAGGGAGCGGTGGAGGACTCAGGAGAGGACAGGAGGGACAAGTCCTGCATGTTGATGACAAGTGGAAAATTTGAAATCCTGGGAACCAGGGAAGCCCGCATTTGAACTGCTAGCTAGAACAGGTGCTGCTACAAATGTGTCTCTCTATCATTAATGCCCCCAAAATTGCCACTCTCAGAAGTAGGGACCTGCTTTCTAGAATATTCACATTTCAGTATGAAGGGCTTTGAAAATAATTCCCAGAGTGTAACACACTAAAACGGGCCCAGAAATGGGCTGGCTGAGCCTGGACGCTGGTCCTTCCTGAGGTGTCAGAGCTCTGACTGGGTCCTGGGAGCCAAGTGGCACGGCCTTCTGAAAACCACCATCTGTGCCAGATCGCCTTGTTAATTTCTCAGGAGTTTGTGTCCTGTCTCCCAGGAGTTCTACTTTGAGCACCAAGTAGGAACTCCAAGAGTTTTGAGTTTAGAATGTGGGTGGGATAGGAAGTATTGTGGTGGGAGTGCCCGTCGGGTTGTCTGCCTCCCATGACTGACTTCGGCTCCTTCTTCTTCTTCTTTTTTTTTTTTTTTTTTTTTTCTTTTCAGGGATTAAAGGGGACATAGGCATGAAGGGAGACACAGGGGTCATGGGCCCCCCTGGGCCCAAGGGGGGCAAAGGTGACTCAGGGAATCCAGGTCTACCAGGTAAGAGGCCATGAGGCCAGAGCCATGGAGCAGCCACTTTTTTCTGATTTTTCTCTAGGAGTTTGAATCAAAGGACAAAAAAGAATCTTAAAAATACTCCTTCATTTTAGGTGTGGCTGGATCTCCTGGAGCCAAAGGTGATCAAGGTAGGAAATGGGGTCACCGGGCTTCATTCCAGCCTGCACAGCCCTGGGCAGAGTCGAGTGAGGGCCCTGACTACCACCTTTTGTTTCATCATAGTATTGACTAGCATGAAGTACTGGGGCGTCTTAAAAACCTGGCCCCTAACGGGCAGGCGGGGATGTAGCTCAGTGGCACAGGCTCCTGCCTGGCAAGTGCAAAGACCTGAGTTCAACTCCCAGTACCAAAAAAAGAAGAAGGAAAGGAGGGAGAAGAGGGAGAAGCCACTTAAAAGCCTGGTCCCTCCTCCAGCACAAGCCAGGTTTGAGCGACAGCGCTCTTGGTGGCATCATTCTGGCCATCACACCCAGAGCTGTGGAGCCGGATGTCTGCGTGATCTAACTATGTACAGTCCCCAACTCTGGAGAACAAATGGCAGACAGCTGCTGCTGCTAATTATCCTCCTAATAGAGCTAGCTCATGGCCTCTAAGGAGACAGGGGACAGCTGCTGAGGAACTAGATAGTGTTGAGAAGCACAAGGCTTGCTGCGCTGAAAAGGGGTGGGGGGTGGGGTCATCCAGGGTCTCAACCAATGACCACTAGCCTCATGGTCACCTCTTAACTTCTAGGACAAACTGGAGTGCCAGGTATTCCAGGCCGTCCCGGAGCAGTGGGACCTTCGGGGCCCAAGGGTGAACCTGGCAGCCCTGGCACAACTGGGTTAACAGGTGAGATCCTGCATCCCACAGCGGGCCTGGGGAGTGACGTTTGGGCTCTGCCCAGCCCTGATGCCCTCTGTGCTGTCTGTCTTCTAGGACCACCAGGGAGACAAGGGATTCCAGGACCTGAGGGCATCAAAGGAAGCAAGGGCGACGCAGGTAACAAATGGCGTGTGAGCAGGTGTGTGTAAGGTTTGGGGTGTCATAACCAACAGGGAGGTGGGGGGCTACTAGCAGCCCATGGAAGGAGGTGGAGTTCTGCTGTGTTCTGGACCCTGAGGCCCCCTAATAAAAGAAGGTGGTTACCCCTGACCCTTTGAGCCCAAGACTTTGAGCCATTCTGTCTCTGCTCTGGGTTCCTGGAAAGCCCCAAATGCCAGTGCCATAGCTCCAGCCTCATGGAAGAGAGCAGGACGCCTTGCCCTGGTGGCCACCAGCTGTGTGCAGAGTTTTCACTACTTCTGACCTTTTGGGGTGGTGGTCAGCACTCGGCTCAGCAAGAGGGTCGTGAAACCCCTTCTTGCAATTCGCCTAAGGGACAGGCAGAGCAAACATTGGCCTGCATGAGTGGAGCTCGCCAGTTTACAGTCACCATGCCAACTTAGCCTTTATGCTTTATAGTCATGTTGCTATCATCCACATCATAAACAATCAGCCAATTTGCTCTGGACTGTATGCTGTCCTTCCAAGGTGCTCTTTTTTATGAACCACTCCACTAGTGTCGCCCAGTCTCCAGGTTCAGGTCCCTCTGTTGATTCCGTTCAGTCTAGACAGTCTGTGTCGGGTGCCAGCCCCACCCAACCTGGAGAAGTGCGGGAGACAGACCACAGGTGCCTTGGCTTGGGTGCTGGGATGGAAACTGCCATTTGGAGAGCCAGGTGCAGGCAGTAGTGCTGTGGGTGTGTGGGGTGCAGAGTAGTGAGAAAGGGCTTGTGCCTGCCGAGGATGCATGTGGATGGCCCATCATGACATCTCCTGCTGGAGTAGAAGTTCGTGATTTGTCAGACAAAGCAGACTCCCTCATCCTCAGGCCACATTACAGGCCCTCCCCAGTTCTGGCTGACGAAGCAGTGGATTGATTGGCTATTTGTTCATTCATCACTACCTCCTGGTGATCCTTGACTTGTGGGCTGTGAGCTCTGGAGTTTTCCTGGATATTGACAGGAGCCATGATGAAGGCAGCCTCTGTCCTCTGCTCAACCCAGCTCAAAGCCTTTTTGTGTCTCATACATTGGTGTGCGCAGGGGTCCACTAGCTGATCCCATGTAGAGGACTCTCAGAGGCCATTGTAGAGAGGCTCTCTCTGAGTGTGAAAATCAGATGTCCTTTCCAATCTTATGCCTGGGACTCTCTGGTCCCTTATCTAGGGTCCACCTGACTGCATCTGAAGCCTGTAGTCCCTGAGTTTTCTGTGTCTTCCTAGAAATGGTGCTTTCCTTACTCAGTTGTAAACAGTAATTGCATTCTGTCCCTTCCCTCATTGCCAAATTCAAGATTCTTTACTAAGGAGTGATAGGTGCAAAACATGATTTTACTTACAGAGGTCCTTTGTCTCAAAATTTGAGCCCTCTGCTGCCTGAGGGTAGAGCATATTTCCTCTCACACTGAACCCTGGGAGGGCCGGAGTGACAAGGGCCATGTCCACTAAGGAGCAGGACCATTTTTGTGATAATGCAGGGGAATATGCCCTGGGTTAGTGGTATTCAACATCCAAGGTCAAAGCACAGTAAAGTGTGTAGTCAAGGTTGAAGTCAAGGCCATGCTGGTTCAAAAACTCAGGGAGATCCCCGAGGATGTCCCACTCCACTCTGTCTTGGAATGTTCCTCCTCAGCCACTCTTTTGGGTGGTACCTTCTCCATCCATCCTGGTTCAGAAAGGATCAGACAGAGGCAATTGAAGATTTTCTTGCTCTTAAGAAGAAACACGAAGCTCCCAGGCCCTGAAATTGTTCTGAGCTACCATCCAAGATCCCTCAGCAGTTTTATCACAGACCATTGAGTATGGGATTCTCTATCAGGCAGCCTGGGTGATAAGGACTAACCAGTCCTATCCTAGGGCTTACCTCTTAATTCTTGCTGCCCAAGTAAACATGATAAATTACATCTTACTTTAGGATGTAGAATAATTAACATTTATGTAAAATGAGATAGGTGTCCCACCTGAGTCCAGATGGTTGGCTTATCAACTTGCTGGTGAAATTCCCATCGGAGGCATTACGGCCACCCAGGGCTATCATCTCGTTGGTATATGGTGCTAGAGTTATGAGCTCGTGAATTTCTGGAAAGATTAGATTTGGTGAGCTCTAAAGTAAGACAAGGCGGGGCAGGAGTGTGTGAGCCAGACCTCCTCATCTCATCCTGGAAGACAGTGTATGCTCGCTAGTGTCAGCACGTCGGTATTCCCCAAACTAAACCTGCTATGGTGATTGGCCATAATATATCAGCCAGATTGTCAAACTAATGTATTACCCATTTTGTAAATAAAACCATTAATCTCTCAAGATTATATCTGGCCACTTTGGACAAAAACAGAAATTACAGTACACTGGTTTGACCTAGGTGACAGCTAGATTTCATTAGTGAGCATGAATTACAAACAACAAGAGATCCATTTGTTATTAACTTTTTCTCTAGGCTGAGACTTCACTGTGCTCGCGACTTTACCCCTGTGGTCTTAGTTCATCTATCCACGCAACTTAGTCTTTCATTCTGTTTTTCAGCTAAGGAAGCAAAGGCTCAGAAAGTATAAATCCTTTGCTCATGGACTTGGGGTTAGCCCTCACTTGGTCTGGGAGCTAATCCCAAAGTCCAAATCTAAACTTGTGTGTTTGCAGATTTTATACAGAATGACACAAAGTTGTTATGTTTGTTGTATAGAATGATGCCAAGTTGTTCTAATTAGTTGTATAGAACAGCATAGAGTAGAAGAAGAAGTTAGAGATTCCCTGTCTATGTGCAGAACCTCCATGATACATGGATTAATCTTGACTGGGTCACAGAACCATCCTACCTTTGTTGACTGTCACTAGCCTCATTCCACCTGATTCAAATGAAATCAGGTGTCTTCAGGGAAGGAGAAATGAGATTCCATTTGTTTTTCTTTGAGGAAAATAAACTCCATATCTTATTAAGTAAGATATTATACCTATCAGAACTTTCTCCAACATGAATTTCATTCATCTATCAGAACCAGACTTTTATTCAACTCCTTAACCTCAGTGTTTCTAGGCTTTTCTCTTTCAAAAGATTGCAAAATAATAACAAAATTTTTGTTCCACATCCCTGAGCCATGTTGAAAAGTAAAGTTCAGAAATAAGGAAGCATTTCAACATGGAATTGTGGCATCCATCTTTTGACTATTTCTACTGTAGGAAGTCATATTAGAAGCAACAAAAATCACTTAAGCTCCAAAATACCATGTGTGGTATTTTCTAATGATATTTGATTAGAAATCCTTCATCTCAGGGGCCAAAATACAACAACTGGAACTTATATTTTACTCTTGAGGCAAAATCCAAGTGCACATAACTTGAAAATCTTGTTCTCATCTGCATTTTGAGATATTTGCAGATTAGCAACAAAGATAGTATGTAATAGTAATTATGTCCTATAATGTGAAAATACTTCCATAGTTAACTCCACTCTTCATATCTAAGCACTTGGGTAGTTCAAGAATTAAGTCCTACCAAATTACTTAAAGATCACTTATCAAACTCTTTCTAATTTTCCTCTAACTTATTTGAGCAGCAGGATGCACCACTCCCTTCTATGTCCCCCCCACCGCCACCAGCCATGTGTTATTTATACACACAAGAGACACAGCTTGGTGTTTTAGGTACTATTCTTACATTTACTAGGCTGAACCTAGCCTAGACATTGTGATGATTTTTAAGGAAGTTTCTCAGTGTATTGGAGATTTCTAACTTTAACTCAAAAGTCAGGAAATCTAATCTTCAACTTGGACTTGCTTTTGGTCAGACAGTTAACTATGGGCCAGCCCTTGACCATGGTGGGCCTCAGTATCCTCCTGGGTGGTATGTGACCAGTGTGGAGGACATCCAGGTCCCTACCAGCTTGACAACACTCTGGCCATTTACCCTCAGAGCACAATCTGTGATTTTTACCAGAGAACCCACAGAGCACTACACAAGAGGAAGACTTGTCCTATCCAAATGTTTTCTTGTGTGAAGAACTCATTTTTCTAAAAATACATTTAAAATAAACACTTGAGTCCTCTCAGCTTGCTAAGCTTGTGAAAACCAGTTTGCTTATAGTTCAAGGGTAGCCTAGCACCCATTTCTCCCCGTGTAGCTTTAGGATGTGCAGTTTTCTAGATCCTGCTTGGCAGCCCCTTCGCTCTCCCAACATGCACTAGCTGATCCAGTCAGGGGCTGCTTCGTAGAGAACAATGATTGCTGTCCTTTGATCCTCGTCAGGGGCCCCTCAGAGTTCAGCGAAGCTTAGAAAGAAATCTCACAAAACATGATTCTAATTTTCTTCCTTTGAAGGGGGCATTTTGAGAACAAAATTGACAGCCATTGGAAACATGTCGAAGAAGGCATTTCATCAGGGGCCAACCCCTGCTGGTGAACATGGCTCAGGAGAGTTCTGGCGAGTGTGGGGTGGGCGATCCTGTGGGCCAAGATGGTAACTAGGAGAAGGTGGCCTGTGAGCTGGTCCCTGAATAGAGTGAGATTTGCTCAGGGCACTCATGTGGTCTCTGCACCACCACCACCACCACCACCACCACCACCACCACCACCAGCAGCTCTTACTAGAAATGCAGTTTCTCACATTCCCAGTCATGTCCCACCTGTGGGATCTAGTGAGTTGCTTCTTAACCTAGTCTCATTTTGATCACAAGCTGCTTTGACTTTGGCTTTCCTAGGAAAGGGATTGCTCAAGAGAGACTGGCGATGTCATCTTTGGAGCCAAATGGAAGCAGGAGCAAAGCTCTAGGTAGGGGGAGCCTGACCTGCAGGAGAACAAAGGCAGCCACAGGGCCCAAGTGGAGAATGAGTCTGGGTAGCAGCTCGACTTTATCGACTTCACCATTCACTCTTGTGTGACCTCGATAAATCACTTAGCAGCTGAGTGTCAACTTCTTCCTCATGAGGGAGGAAAATAACATTACCTCCCAGGTGGTGGGAAAATGGAAGGAAGGCAGTGCGTGTAAAGCCCCTGGCACAGCGCAGCCACAGCACACACTGAGCTCTGGAGAGAGGTCTGGGACGAGAGTGTGAGGAACATGGGGTGGGGAGAGGTCAGGCATGGGACCTTGGGCCTCACGAGCCGGGGCTTCACTGCTATTCCTGTCTTGTAGAGGTTACAGGTCTTACATTGTGCCTTAGTTACTTTGTCACAGCTGAGACAAAATACCTGACACCCCCAAGTTGTAGGAGGAAAGGCTCATTTTGGCTCAGACTGTGGAGGTCTCAGTCCATATGCACCTGGCTGAAGGCAGGGTGTCATGGTAGAGGGACAAGAAACAAACAGTCCATGGCAGAGCAGAAGTAGGCAGCAAGAGGTAGGTCTGCCTTCTTTCTGACCCTTTATATTCCATCCAGGCAACAAACCTATGGGTTGGTACCCCCACACCCACGAAGGGACTTCCTGTTATGTACACCAGAACTATACTAACCCAATGAATGGAGTAATTCAGTTTTGACACACCTTTAGTCCATCATCGTACACCTTAGGTCCAGCCACCTCCAAGAAGCCCCATCTGTGAGCTTGTGAGTATGTGAGGCATTAGGGGGATATCCATAATAAAGCCATAACACAGAGTTTTAGAGAGCAACCAGAGAAGGGTAGGTCTTTCAATGGGGAGACTAAGGGAGGTTACAGTGCCCTGGGGCCCGACCTTGCTTCTAGAGACAGGTTCTTGAAGTAGAGATTCCTGTGACATGTTACCCTCTTGGACTGGGATAGAATGTTCAGGATCTAAGGTGACTGTTTTCCCATCCAATGACTACATGATGCATCTTTTCCTCTAGTCTTAACACTTGCTGTTCAGATGCAAGCAGGGAAAACAGAGGCATGGACCCCCTCTGTTGGGTGGGCATGGCTAAGTCCTTGCAGGCCAACAGGATACACTTCCTGGTGCTCATATGGCTCCACCCCCAGACCCAAGACACTCTTTACCTCAAGGGAAGACACTCGTGGAAATGATGCACAGTATCCTCTTGCCCCCCTCTTTAGTTTTGGTGGTACCAGGGATCAAACTCAGGATCTTGCACTTGCCAGGCAAGCACTTATTCCACTAAGCTATCTCCCCGACCTGATTCCCTGGCCCTATTTTTGTTCAGCACTGGATGGACATAGTGCTCAGCCCCTGACATCTGCTACTTCATTTATTCTCATGATGGCCTCATGAGACAATGAGCAGACTCAGACAGGGAGACTGAGGCCTCTCTGGGACACCTGTATCAGAGTCACAGGGCAGAGTCAGACTCAAGCACTGAATCTGAAGCCACTTTAATGTCAGGCTGTGGAGAATGCATGTCATTGATCAAGGAAGGCCAGGAAAGGCTTCATAATTGGTAACATTTGACATCTTTGAAAGGTTTGCAGGCTAAAGCTGAGTTCTCTGGGTAAATCTAAGGGCCAAGGCATTTGAATCTGAGAGATCAGGGTGTGCACCAGTGCTTGGGCTGTGCTGGGGCCAGGGGCTGGACTTGAAGCCTCCTTCCACTTTTGGAAGAGCCTCTCCTAGCCATCAACTCTGTCCCCAGCCCTGGGGCTGGAGTAGTTGCCTTCTCAGCACTTTTGGATTCTCTTGGTTTTCCGATGTTGCTCCCAGGTAGCACCAGGCTTGGCGTTATCATCTGGAATTCTCAAGAGGCCGGGCATGACCTTCACCTTGCTCTGCTCTGACCAGCACATTGTATGTGCTCAGAAAATTTAGGCAATGAAGTTGATGATAGGGGTCAGAAGGAAGGAAGGTCCCCAGGCCACTGCAGAGAGGGTAATGGTTTCTGGTGGTCATCAGAAGGGCGGATCGGTGGACAGGGCTAGGCTTGGGTCTCACGTAGGGAGCTCAGCAAGGATGTGGCCACAAGCATAGATGCTCCTGACCGAATGACGCACCCACCCCTGTTACTCTCTACTAACTGCTACTTAACAGTCATTAATGAACTTGCGTTTTCCCAAGTTTGTGTAATTGCCTTGGGGAATCCTGTTCTTCCAAAATGGAGACAATACTGACCTTAATGCTGCTAAATATACAAATCAGGATTTCACACTAGCCTGGCAGAGCATGAGGCAAGGGGTCTTCCACAAGAGTTAACTGAATAAATGGAGGAGTGGGTATCAAGAAGGAGCTAAGAGGAAGATGGCATGAAAAGAGGGGGACCTCTCACTGGAGCTATAAATAGAATCATCACCAGTGATTGCAGTTATTCTTTTTCCATTTTCTAAGCCTGAGACCATTTAGCCACGTGAGTATTTAGCTAACTGAGCCACAAAGAATGAACCTATATATATATA